GAACCTGTTGCCAGCGAGAACGGAGCGACCTCGGGGAAAAAGGCACCTTATTTTTCTGTCGTAAATGTTCGTATCTTAAAATAGTGAAATAAAAGCATGAAAATAAAGAAAGTAGAGTAAGTTAAAACGAATATTGAAGTTGAAAATGATGAGGTTCACAGCAGCAGGTACAGAGAGAGGAGCGAGGGTTTCTCAACAGAATCGAGTCAATGGAGCCGAAAATGCGGCCGTGCTCATTTCCTGTTTGGAACGCAGTCACTAAAAGGTTATGTCCATTTCCATGTACAAGTAGTCCGGTTCCTTATATGCTTTTGTGGGAATTTGGGGGGGATTTGCTAAACTATATATTTTTGGAAAGGTTTATGGAGTCAGAAAATCAATGTTTGCATTTGCCCAGATGTGTATATGGCGGCCATATTGAATTTAAAAAAAAAAAAAAAAAGGCTGCCAAAAAACCCTTTTGAAATGTTGATTTTATCTACTAAACCCACATTTTCAGGGTCAGGGAATCAAATGGTGCTAGTTACAAAGCTGTAAGACCTACCCACATTAACCCTTCGGTGCATAAGTGGGTCAAAAATGACCCAGTTTGGTTGTTTTCTTGCAATTTTATTGTGATATTTGCATGTAATACTCCATGTTCCTCCAAAAATATGTTTGTTTTTTTATTATCCTGTTGAAATACATTGAAACCCTGAAACTGTGGGTTTAGCAGTTAAAATCAACATTTCAACTTATTCAGAGGCTGAGATATTTTAAAAAAGAGATTTTTGGCGGCCAATTTTTAAAAATTCAATATGGCCATATAGACATCTGGGCAAATGCAAACATTGATTTTCTGACTCTTTATACTATAACCTTTCCAAAAATATATAGTTTAGCAAATCCCCAAAAAATTCCCACTAAGGTTAAAAAATGAATCTAATGAACCGGACTAAAGGACGTCCCAAACAAATCTGACATCACTTCACAAGCCACTCATTTTGGCAATTCTCATTGAAATGACCTCAAATTTTCACAGAATGTATAAAAACAGATGAAGATTTTATATGTAATGTTTTATTTTTGTTCTGTTTTCAGGTTGAGCCGTTCACTCCCAAACAGAATCATTTTGCGTCTTGGAATCTGGAATCTGGAAAAAACTTCACCAACTGGAAAACAAATTTGGACTTTGTACCAAAAATGTAAAGCGTTCGTCTGCTCATGCACTGCAAAAAACAAAACCTAGTCCAGTTAAGACGACTTGAATTAAGAAAGTTTTATCGTGATTTGAGTAAATTTCACTTCAGAAGTAAAATAATCTGCCAATGGAACAAGATTTTTTGTACTTAAAATACGAAAATACATCTGGCTACAATTAAAATAAGAAAAACAACAACTTTTTGAACTTAAAATAAGAAACAAAATCAAATGTTGAATTAAGAAAAACTCTCTTATTCCATCGATAAATAATTTTACTTGTCAAGTTGAATCGACTCAAATAAAATAAAATGTTACGTTATTTTAATTTAACTAGATATTGTTTTGTTTTTTGTTTTGTTTTTTTCCGGTGTGCAGGACTAAAGGATCTGGTAATAACATCGACATCAGAAGAGAGGGTGAGGAGAAATTCAGTTTGTCGACTGGACAAAAGTTAGTTTGGTTGAAGATGTTTCGCAGTTCATCCAAGCTGTTTCTTCAGTTCTGGAACCAAGCTGTTTCCTCAGTTTCCAGCAGTGAAGAAGCAGCTTGGATGAGCTGCGAAACATCTTCAACCAAACTAACTTCTGTCCAGTCGATAAACAGAATTTGTCCTCGCCATTGATTCCACCTGGACGACTGAGGGATTCTTCACACATCAGAAGAAAAGGCTGTGATAAACTTTTTGCGAAGCCCCAAGGAAGTCCATGAGGAGAACAAGTTTGGAAACCCAGATTCCTCGAATGACGGTTTGGCGTAACCAGATCCTTTATCCATAATCAGCCGAACTCTTTACATTTTTGGTGCGAAGTCCAAATTTGTTTCTCCAAGCTGGTTCCACCTAGTGCCTTCGCTCAATTTCATTTCTTTCCAGCGACTAGATCATGAATCAGAATACCTTCCAACTTTTTTCTCTTGAAGCAGAGGGCCGACTAGACTGGTGCTCATGTGCCGTTTATCCATCAGTCTCAGATCACTTGCAGACATAGATTTACCATCAAGAATCGAGCACAAGTTTGGACATGCCTGCACTAGACGATTCGCAAGAACAGTCCGATGAGGTTCATTTGGTCTTCCAATAATTTATGTTATTAGGTTCTTTTTTCAAACCGTTTGCAAGAACGCCGGAAGTGTGAGTTCAGGCACCAGCCAATCAGCAAAGGCCAGACATTCTGTGTTGGTGACGATTCCCAAGATCGAGGATTTAAAGTCGGAAAAAAGAGAATGTTTGGTGAATTTAATCAAGGGGAAAGACGTTATTGTCCTTCTTCCTGCGGGATTTGGGAAAAGCTTAATATACCAGTTAGTCCTGTTAGCGGAGCATTACATACGTCACGACCAAACAGCAGCGATTGGTTAAATAAAAAAAGTACCCGCCTACTGTTGAGTGAACGAATCCTAACGCTGCGAGGTCACACGGTTTCCACGAAGTGAAACCAGTTCATGAATCAGGCTAAAGTTTTATTTGCCAGTTGGTGAAATTTTTCCAAACGTTGCATTGAAGCTCCAGAGTCTTGGGCTGTAAAATGACTTCTGTTTGGGAGTGAACGAACAAAAATAAAACATTAAGTATAAAATCTTGATCTGTTTCTGTACATTCTGTGAAAATTTGAGGTTATTTCAACAAGAATTGCCTAAATTATTGGCCTGCGAAATTATGTAAAATGTTTTGGGACACCGTGTACCGTTTATGTGCACGACGCAGACTTTGCCAGCTTTCCTCTGAGACAGTTTTCTTCATGTGCAAAAATAAATAAATAAAATGAGATGAAATTAAATAAAATAAAAAATAAAATAATTTAATTTGTTTGAATCCTTGAAAAATTCCAGTTTTCCATATTCCCAAACTCAAAAAATTGATCCAGTCCTCATTAAAATATAAAGTTACAGCGGGTTCATGTGAAAAAATAAATAAATAAAATTAAATTAAATAAAATTAAATTAAATTAAAAATAATAAAAAATAAAATAAAAAATAAAAAAAATTAATTTGTCTGAATCTTTGAAAAATTCCAGTTTTCCATATTCCCAAACTCAAAAAATTGATCCAGTCCTCATTAAAATATAAAGTTACAGCGGGTTCATGTGAAAAAATAAATAAATTAAAAATTAAATTAAAATTAAAATTAAAATAAAATTTAATTAAATTAAATTAAAAATAATAAAAAATAAAAAAAAAATAAAATAAATTAATTTGTTTGAATCTTTGAAAAATTCCAGTTTTCCATATTCCCAAACTCAAAAAATTTATCCAGTCCTCATTAAAATATAAAGTTACAGCGGGTTCATGTGAAAAAATTAAATAAATAAAATTAATTAAAATTAAAATTAAAAAATTAAATTAAATTAAAAAATAAAAAATAAAAAATAAAATAAAAAAATAATTTGTCTGAATCTTTGAAAAATTCCAGTTTTCCATATTCCCAAACTCAAAAAATGATCCAGTCCTCATTAAAATATAAAGTTACAGCGGGTTCATGTGAAAAAATAAATAAATAAAATAATAAATAAAATTAAAATTAAATAAATTAAAAATAATAAAAAATAAAATAAAAAATAAAATAAATTAATTTGTTTGAATCTTTGAAAAATTCCAGTTTTCCATATTCCCAAACTCAAAAAACTGGTCCAGTCCTCATTAAAATGTAAAATTACAGTGGGTCAGGATGTAAAGCAGCTCTGTAAACAAAGAAGGTTGTTGGTTCAAATCCCAAACTGTTAGCAATAGTTGTGCCACGGAGTTGTCTTTTAAACCAGATGCCCTTCCATCCAACCACATCGATATGTCCTTATTAAAACATAAAGTTACACTGAATTGGTGCGTAAAACTGTAAAAAAAAAAGAAGGTTGTTGGTTTAAATTCCAAACATCTGGCGTTATTTAAGTACCGCAAGATCGTCCATGTCGGTTTGGCGATTTTTCTTTTTAAACCAGATGCCCTTCAGTCCAAACACGTCGGAATGTCCTCATTAAAACGTAAAGTTACAGTGGGTTTGTGTGTAAAACTGTAAAATAAAAAAAAATTAAAAAAAAGGTTGTTGGTTCAAATCCCGAACTTCTGGCATTATTTAAGTACCGCAAAGTTACAGAGGGTTCGTCCGTGAAACTGTAAAAAAAAAAAGAAGGTTGTTGGTTCAAATTCCAAACTTCTGGCATTATTTTAGTACCGCAAGGACGTCCATGTTGGTTTGGCGATTTTTCTTTTTGTACCAGATGCCCTTCCATCCCGTTTGTTCTCAGATCCGAAGTGGAAATCTGACTCGACCAACCCCAAAGTTATAAAAAGTTTGAGATTTTTGTTTTGTTTTGTTTTGTTAAAAATACGAAGTTGGACGCTCGATTTTAAAGGTACACTATGTAGCTTTTCACATTGAAGGGTCTGCCACCTGTTTGTCTCCACGGCGTTGATACAGCTTTTCAAAAATGTCCCACAGTACGGCATTAAACTGATGTAAATCATCACAGAGAAGCGGGGTTACGTGAGTTACGAGTCAGATCCGTGGTGGGGCGACCCTGCGTACGATGTGGAATAGATTTTTTTCGCAGCGTTTTTGAAATGCATTAACGCGTTTACGAAAACACCGACAACGCAACGAAGATTCCGTGGACGCGTTAATGCCACACTGCGGGACATTTCAGGCAAAGCAATGAGCCTGTTCACGAGAAGAGCTGAAGAACGTCGCCGCCGGAAAAAACGTCACTGATACTACGGAACATTTAAGGCGACTCAAAATGCGAAAAAGCTTAGGTTACTTAGCGCATGTCGTCGTTGTTGCCGTGGTAACGCTAAAGTCCGCTCGTACAACGAAAACGACGCGGGATTTAAATGCAGAGAAAAGCGTGGGAGCAGCAGAAGATCTCCTTGAACGTTTTCCGCATTTCTTGACTCCGGAAAGCGTAGATGATGGGATCGATCACGGAGTTGCACATGATGAGGATGAGGTACATGTTGAAGTGCGACATGAAGCACGTGCAGTACGGGTTCCGCGGGCACGTAATCATCAGGATGAGGTGGAGGAAAAACGGCGCCCAGCACACGACGAAAACGCCCAGCAGAATCGTCAACGTGATCGCCCCCTTCATGTTGGCGCGCTGCTGGATCGGCGCGTTTCCCGGGAGCGCCGCGATCCGCTTCATGTGCAGCCGCGCCAACAAAAACATGTGCACGTACAGCGACGCCATGAGCACCAGCATCGTGAAAAACATCGTGATGAGGCAAATGAGAACCGTCGTGCTTTCGGAATAGATGATAAACAAAATCCCGGAAATCGTACACACCGTCCAGATCACGGTAATCACCAGCATGGCGCGGCGAATCGTCACGATGTTGTGGTACCGCAGCGCGTAAAAAATCGTAATGTAGCGGTCGACGGCGATGGCGAGAAGGCTACAAATCGACGCTAAAAGTGAACTGCAAATGAGCGAGTCGAAAACGTTGTCCATGCTCCGTATGAGCGTCCCCGGGATCGTGACGGTGCCGCCGTTTATCAGCGCAATCACGATCGTCTCCGAAGCGTTGGACACGCTGACGAGCATGTCCGCCACGGCCAAGCTGCAAATGAAAAAGTACATCGGCGAGTGCAGGTTTTTGTTTTTGATGATCGCTGCGACGACTAGAATGTTCTCGAGCAGGCTGATGATTCCCAGGGTCAGGAAAACCTCGGTGGAGATGAGCAGCTGTTCGTAGCATCCCGCCGAAGAGTCCTTGTCGTCCGGTAAGTTCTTGTCCAAAGGTATGCCCGCCTGGCTGCCGTTGCTCGCGTAGCCGCTCGGCATCAACGAATGCCGATGTGTTCCGTTCATTGCTGCATTTTTAGTTCCACGATGTTAAATTCTCAAAGTTTTCCATTAAGAGCGCGTTTGTTTTTACGTAAAGTTCGGAATTCTCTTTGTAGAATCGTCGACGAAGAACCGAAGAACGATTCAAATGCAAATAACGGATTGTGTTACACTTTAAATTGACAATATCCATTTTCCGACCGATTTACCTCCACTTAAATCCACTCATGTTGGTTTTATCAGTCGGAAAGTCGTGCGTAATTGCCGCTCGCTTTGAAAACTACGTCCAAGGTCGGAGATGAGTGCTCCTCTTTGTGTGAATGAAACTAAATGGAGATCACAGTCACGCCGTGCTTTTTTTATTTATTTATTTCTTATCAGCGACAGCAGCTCTCGAACGCGCCGAGGAGAGTTTGAAACAGTTCGAGAGCCTCTAATATCCCGCTCGGACATTGATTCATGGTTTTAACGAGCTGATAAAAACGTCCAGGTCGGAGAAATCGCTTTAATTCCTCGCCACGTTCGATATTAAACAAATCCTTTACGCCTCGTCGGACGTGGGAGGTTCGCACGTGTCCGTCCCGGAACGAGGAAAACGTAATATCGAACGTAATCTTCTCAAATATCTTCTTAACGTCCCGTGAGATCGGAGGACGGTTGAGTCATCGGTTGTGGAATGAAACGGAGCCCCGGTAAAGAAGGAAATCCTCGTGAAGAAGTTAAAACAGATCGATAGCTGCGTCCGTCGGTTTTCCGATGGTTTGTAGAGATCCGAGGAATCTCCGATACTTCGTCTTTTGCGGAAAATTGACTTGAAATGCTCCGTACTTCTCTTCAAAACCAGTAAAATCCATGTGTTTCTGAAATTTTAATCCAGTTTTCCCGGGTTTTCTCAGCGTTCCCGGGAAGATTGACGGTCTTTCAGTAGTTTCCAGTTGCAGTAGTAGTAGTAGTATTTGTAGTAGTAGTAGTAGAAGTATTTTCAGATGCAGAAGCGCAGCAGCGGTTTCTCTCGTTTTTTTTTTTCTCTCTCTCGTTTCTCTCTGGTCTCCGCTCGTCTTTTCCCCTCGTTTGAAACCGGGCGGAATGAGACACGGCGACGGAGGGAGCTGTGATATGAGCGGAAAGAGAGAGAGAGAGAAAGAGGGAGGAGAGAAAAGAGGGAGGAGGAGAGGGAGGGAGAGATGATGAAGGGGAAAACAGGAGAGATAAGGTAGGAGAGAGAGAGAGAGAGAGAGAGAGAGTCGAGAAAACATGACTGATGACGGAGAAAGAGAGGAGGAGGAGAGGAGAGAGGGAGGGAAGATAAAGGAGAAAACAGAGGAGATAAGGAGGTGTGGTAGAAGAGAGAGAGAGAGAGAGCGCAAAGAAAGTGAAGGAGAGAGGATGCTGACAGATGAAGAGGTTAAAACGGAGGAGATAAGTGAGAAAGAGAGAGAGAGGGAGAGAAGATAAAGGAGAAAACAGGAGAGATAAGGAGAGAGAGAGAGAGAGAGAGCAAAGGAAGAGAAGGAGAGAGAAATGCAGGACTCTGGCAGATGAGAGGAGGATAAAAGGGAGGAGATAAGTGAGAAAGAGATAGAAACATTTGAAAGAGAAAGAGGGAAGACAGGAGAGGAGAGAAGATAAAGGAGAAAACAGAGGATAGATAAGGAGAGAGAGAGAGCAAAGGAAGAGAAGGAGAGAGAGATACAGGATGTTGGTAGATGAGAGAGAGAGGAGGATAAAAGGGAGAAGATGAGAGAGAGAGGAGTGAGAAAGAGATAGAGAAAGAAGAGAGAGGGAGGAGAGGAAGGGAGAGAAGAGCAAGGAACGAAAGAAAACAGAGGAGAGATAAGGAGCTAAGGTAGAGGAGAGAGAGAGAGAGAGATCGAAAACATGACTGATGACGGAGAGAAAGAGAGAGGGAGGAGGGGAGAGAGGGAGAGATGATAAAGGAGAAAACAGAGGAGAGATAAGGAGGTGTGGTAGAGAGAGAGAGAGAGAGAGAGAGAGAGAGCAAAGAAAGTGAAGGAGAGAGGATGCTGACAGATGAAGAGGTTAAAACGGAGGAGATAAGTGAGAAAGAGAGAGAGGGAGGAGAGAAGAGGAGAGAGACGGAGGGAGAGAAGATAAAGGAGAAAACAGAGGAGAGATAAGGAGAGAGAGAGAGAGAGAGAGAGCAAAGGAAGAGAAGGAGAGAGAGATGAGAGGAGGATAAAAGGGAGGAGATAAGTGAGAAAGAGATAGAAACATTTGAAAGAGAAAGAGGGAAGACAGGAGAGGAGAGAAGATAAAGGAGAAAACAGAGGAGAGATAAGGGAGAGAGAGAGAGAGAGAGCAAAGGAAGAGAAGGAGAGAGAGATACAGGATGCTCCTAGACGAGAGAGGAGGTTAAAAGGGAGAAGATGAGAGAGAGAGAGAGGAGTGAGAAAGAGGTAGAGAAAGAAGAGAGAGGGAGGAGAGGAAGGGAGAGAAGAGCAAGGAACGAAAGAAAACAGAGGAGAGATAAGGAGCTAAGGTAGGAGAGAGGAGAGAGAGAGAGAGAGAGAGATCGAAAACATGACTGATGACGGAGAGAGAGAGAAGAGGAGAGGAGAGAGGGAGAGAAGATAAAGGAGAAAACAGGAGAGAAGGAGAGAGAGAGAGAGAGAGAGAGAGCAAAGGAAGAGAAGGAGAGAGAGATACTGAGAGAGGAGGTTAAAAGGATGAGATGAGAGAGAGAAAAAGGAGAGATGGAGGAGAGAGGGAAGGAGGGAGGGAGAGAAGAGCAAGGAGAGAAAACAGAGGAGAGATAAGGAGCTAAGATGACAGAGAGGAGGAGAGAGAGAGAGAAGATAAAGGAGAAAACAGAGGATACATGAGGGAGATGAGAGAGAGAGAGACCGAAATAAAGGAGAGATGGAGAAAGAGAGATGGAGAGAGTGAGAGCAAAGAAAGAGATAGAAAAAAGACTGATAAAGCAAGAGAGAGAGAGAGAGAGAGAGAGAGTGAGTGGGTTAAAAGGGAGGAGAGGAGAGATAGAAAAAGGAGAGATGGAGAAAGAGAGGGGAGTGAGGGAGGGAAGATCAAGGAGAAAAAGAAACAGAGGAGAGATAAGGAGCTAAGGTAGGAGAGAGAAAGAGAGAGAGAAAGAGAGAGAGAGAGAAAACATGACTGATGACAGAGAGAAAGAGAGAAGGAGGAGAGGAGAGAAGATAAAGGAGAAAACAGGAGATAAGGAGAGAGAGAGAGAGAGAGAGCAAAGGAAGAGAAGGAGAGAGAGAGGTACAGGGCGCTGGAAGATGAGAGAGGAGGATAAAATGGAGGAGATGAGAGAGAGAGAGAGAAATAAAGAAGAGGGAGGAGAGGAGAGAGGGAGAGAAGATAAAGGAGAAAACAGGAGAGATAAGAAGGTATGATCAGGAGAGAGAGAGAGAGAGAAAAGGAAGAGAAGGAGAGAGAGAAACAGGATGCTGGAAGATGAGAGAGGAGGATAAAGGGAGGAGATGACACAGAAAGAGATAGAAAAGGGAGAGAGAAAAAAGAGAGAGGAAGAGAAGAGCAAGGAGAGAAAACAGGAGAGAGAGGAGTTAAGGTAGGAGAGAGAGAGAGAGAGAGAGCGTAAAGGAAGAGAAAGAGAGAGAGAGATACAGGATGCTCGAGAGGAGGTTAAAAGGGAGGAGGGGATGAGAGGGAAAAAGGAGAGGTGGAGAGAAAGGGAGAGAAGATCAAATAGAAAGAGAGCATAGGGAGAGATAGAAAAAAAGAGAGAGAAGAGAGGATGGAAGGGAAGACAGAGAGAGAAAAAGGAAAGAGACAGAAAAAAGAACAGATGAGGACAGAGAGAGAGAGAGAAAGGGAGGGAGAAAGAGAGGAGAGAAAATATTAAAAGGGAGAAAAAGAGAGGAGGGAAGAGAAGAGCTGACGAAAGAGAGAGATGAATATGGGACGATAGAAGAGGAGGAGAGAGAGAGAAAGAGGGAGAAGGAGAAGATGTGGAGGAGAGAAAGAGAGGGGTGGACAAAAACAGATAGAGCGAAGAGAAAAAGAGAAAGATTTAAAGGAGAGAAAGGCTGAGAAGAGAGAGAAGAGAGAGAGAAGAGAAGCTGGGAGATGAAAGAGAGGAGGATGGAGAGAGGAAAGAGTGAGAAAGAAGAGGAGAGAGGAAGGAGAGACGGAGTAAAAGAGGCGAGACAGAGAAAGAGAACGGAGAGAATAGAGATGTAAAAGAGCTGATAGAGAAAGAGAGAGGGATGAGAGAGGAGGAGGAGTGTCCTGTCTGAACACAAAGGAAAAGAACGACAGAGCGTGAGAAAAACGCAGCGCCGCAGAAAGACGACAAACGTGACAGAGAACAAAACGTACAGAACTGATCAAAACTAAACCAGGACTAAACCAGGACTAAACCAGGACTAAACCAGGACTAAACCAGGACTAAAACAGGACTAAACCAGGACTAAACCAGGACTAAACCAGGACTAAACCAGGACTAAACCAGGACTAAACCAGGACTAAACCAGGACTAAACCAGGACTAACCAGGACTAAACCAGGACTAAACCAGGACTAAACCAGGACTAAACCAGGAAACCAGGACTAAACAGGACTAAACCAGGACTAAACCAGGACTAAACCAGGACTCTAAACCAGGACTAAACCAGACTACTAAACCAGGACTAAACCAGGACTAAACCAGGTCTAAACCAGGACTAAACCAGGACTAAACAGGACTAAACCAGGACTAAACCAGGACTAAAACCAGGACTAAACCAGGACTAAACCAGGAGGTCTAAACCAGGACTAAACCAGGACTAAACCAGGACTAAACCAGGTCTATGTTTAGTTTTGTTTTTAGTCCTGGTCCAGTCCTGGTTCAGTCTTGGTTTAGTTCTGGTTTTAGTCTTGTTTTTAGTCTTGGTTTTAGTCCTGATTTAGTCTTGGTTCAATCCTGGTTTAACCTGGTTTAGTCCTGGTTTAGTCCTGGTTTAGACTGGTTTAACCTGGTTTAGTCCTGGTTTAGTCCTGGTTTAAGACCTGGTTTAGTCCTGTCCTGGTTTAGTCCCTTTTAGTCCTGGTTTAGTCCTGGTTTAGACCAGCGTTTAGTCCAGGTTTACCTGTTTAGTCCTGGTTTAGTCTGGTTTAGTCCTGTTTTAGTCCTTTTACCTGGTTTCCTGGTTTAGACCTAGTTTAGACCTGGTTTAGACCTGGTTTAGTCCTGGTTAGACCTGGTTTAGTCTGGTTTTAGTCTGGTTTAGACCTGGTTTAGTCCTGGTTTAGAGTTTAGTAGACCTGGTTTAGACCTGGTTTAGACCTAGATTTAGTCCTTTTAGACCTGGTTTTAGATCTGGTCCTGGTTTGTCCTTTAGTCCTGGTTTAGTCCTGGTTTAGACCTGGTTTTCCTGGTTTAGTCTGGTTTTTCCTGGTTTAGTTCTGGTTTCCTGGTTTAGACCTGGTTTAGTCCTGGTTTAGTCCTGGTTTAGTCCTGGTTTAATCCTGGTTTAGACCTGGTTTAGTCCTGGTTTAGTCCTGGTTTCCTGGTTTAGTCCTGGTTTAGTCCTCTTGAACATAAATCAGTCTCATGTCTGTTTTTTAATTGGACACAAATGTAAATCTGTGAATCAGGTCGAGTTTGAAAAAGCGAAACAGAAAATGTGAGGAGAAGAAGGTCGCGTTCAGTTTATAATTTTATATTTTCATTTCATGGTCGACACTTCAGATTCATTTTCACATTCCAACAGAAAAGTGCAAAAATCCCTCCACTGTTTGGGTTGAAGAGGTGATGTAAAACAGATTTTATTATTTCATTTTTTTTCCGTGTTTTAACGTTGAATCTCATTCATGAAACTTTCTTACCAACAAATTTGTACTTAAGATTTTCTCACGAACATTTTTGGCAGAAACAAAACCTTTTCTGATTTGAAAATGTTCTTCTGGAAGAAAAAAAAACTATGAAAAGTCAGAAGACGAGAGACAGAAATACTACTGTTTTAGAATAATATTACTCTGATAATGAAAGAAAAACTAAACAAAAACTAAACCAGGACTAAAACAGGACTAAAACAGGTCTAAAAGGACTAAACCAGGACTAAACCAGGTCTAAACCAGGACTAAACCAGGAGGTCTAAACCAGGTCTGACTAAACCAGGACTAAACCAGGACTAAACCAGGACTAAACCAGGACTAAACAGGACTAAAACAGGTCTAAACCAGGACTAAACCAGGTCTAAACCAGGACTAAACCAGGACAGGACTAAACCAGGTCTAAACCAGGACTAAAAAACTAAACCAGGACTAAACAGGACTAAACCAGGACTAAACCAGGTCTAAACCAGGATCTAAACCAGGACTAAAACAGGACTAAAACAGGACTACTAAACCAGGACTAAAACCAGGACTAAAACCAGGACAAAACCAGGACTAAACCAGGACTAAAACACTGACTAAACCAGGACTAAAACAGGACTAAACCAGGACTAAACCAGGACTAAAACAGGACTAAACAGGACTAAAACAGGACTAAACAGGACTAAACAGGACTAAACCAGGACTAAAACAGGACTAAACCAGGACTAAACCAGCATTAAACCAGGACTAAAGCAGAACTTAAGCAAGACTAAACCATCACAAAAACCAAGACTAAATAAAAACAAAAAACCTGGTCTAAACCAGGACTAAACCAGGACTAAACCAGGAAAGTTTCATGGTTCATCCTCTCGGTGTCACAAGTTTCTCTCTCACTCCAAACTTTCTTTCTGCTGCTCGATTTTCGTTTTCAGCTGCAGATTTCACGACTTGCAGTTTGTAAATCTGCAGAATCTGATTTTGTTTTCGGGGGCGTTTGTGTTCAGTCGTCTCAGTCTTTGTCTTTATAAGTTTAAAGTTTAAATGTTAAATTGTTCAGTGGTGCAGAAGTAACGGTGCGATCGACTGACACGATACAGACAGAACAGAGGTGAGTTTTAAAATGTAATCCCCTACAGATTACAGATTACAGATTACACACACCAAGATGTAGTTTGTAACATAATCCATTAAATTACTGAAAGTGAGTAATGTAATCTGATTACTTTGGATTACTTGATTTGTTGTAGAGAAGCAAAGACAAGGAAATCGTCACATAAGAAATTTTATCTGATAAAAGAAAATAAAAAGTCCAGATTTTATTTAACCAGATTAAAAATATTATTGACAGAAGAAGAGGAGGAGACATGGTCCACGCAGCAGGATTTAGTCCTGTTCTGTCCTGTTCAATCCTGTTCAATCCTGGTTTAGACCTGGTTTAGACCTGGTTTAGACCTGGTTTAGACCTAGTTTTAGTCCTTTTAGACCTTTTAGACCTGGTTTTTAGATCTGGTTTAGACTGGTTTAGACCTGGTTTAGTCCTGGTTTAGACCAGTTTTAGTCCTTGGTTTAGTCTGGTTTAGTCCTGGTTTAGATTTTGTGTCCGGCAATGAGTGGAATGCCGAGAAAAACAAAACAAAAAAAGGGATACAGCAAAATTAAAAACAGTAAAATCCCTCTGTGTCATTTATTTAACAAAGTAACTGTAATCTTTTACTGAAACAGTAACTGTAACTGAATACAGTTACTCATAATTAGTACTCTGATTACATAACTCTGTACATGTAATCTTTAGACTCAGAACGAGTTCAAAAGATTATTGAACACGTTCATTTTTAGTGAACTTTGAACTGGGTTAGAACTTGAACTGAATTTGTTCAAATTATGGTTGAACGAGTAGACTGTTTTCAGTTTCGGAATTTGTTTGAGATCTGGACCTTTACTTTTAGAGGCCTGGTGGGAAAGTTCAAACTTGACTGCGTTTAGCTGGTATTTAGTACCTGATTTAGTAAATTTCAAACCTAATTGTGTTTATCTGGGACAACTCAATGTGCTGATTGTACAACAATAGTACATCCTGGATTTTAGTAGACCTTTGGTGAAATTACACGCACAGACGCGCGTGTATTATTTTACTGGTACATTTTAAGTCACAGTGTTTGAAACTTTACAAATTTGCTAAAATGGATATTGAAAAGGTTAGACCTCAGGTGATGAGCGAAAGGAGACCAGAAGCTCCACGAGATAAAAGCTGGGATCGACAGGGGCGGTCCTAGAAAGTTCTAGTCCAGGAAGTCCTGGTTTAGTCTTGTTTAGTCCTGTTTAGTTCTGGTTTAGACCTGGTTTAGTCCTGGTTAGTTCTGGTTTAGTCCTGGTTCAGTCCTGGTTAGTTCTGGTTTAGTCCTGGTTCAGACCTGGTTTCTGGTTTAGACCTGGTTTATTCCTGGTTTAGACCTGGTTTAGTCCTGGTTATCTGGTTCAGTCCTGGTTTAGTCTTGGTTTTTCCTGGTTTAGACCTGGTTTAGTCCTGGTTCAGTTCTGGTTTAGTCCTGGTTTAGTCCTGGTTTAGACCTGGTTTAGACCTGGTTTAGTCCTGGTTTCAGTTTCCTGGTTTAGACCTGGTTTTAGTCCTGGTTTAGACCTGGTTTATCCTGGTTTTAGACCTGGTTTAGTTTCCTGGTTTAGTCCTGGTTTAAGTCCATAACGGCAAAAGTTAGCATTTAACAGTTCTTTTGGTGAGAGTAAATTTAAAAGTGGCAATACGTGTAAGTTTTACATTTTAAAACAAAATGTAATGTAAAAATGGAAATACAGTAAAAGTCAAAATAAAACATTACAAAAGTCACTTGTAACAATCTTGTAAAAGTAACTGTAATCAATTACCACTCACTGAAAATAAAATGTAACTGAATACAGTTACTCATAATTAGTACTCTGATTACATAACTCTGGTACATGTAATCTGTTACTCCCCAACACTGACCAGGACAGAGGCTCTTTCTGCAGGAGGAACAGGAGCAGCAGATCCTCACACACACGACTAGAGCCTCTCCACACTTCACCAAAAACATTTTAACATAGAAACAAACAGGAAACACCCAAAACATGAAAAAAAGTGACACTTATAATCCCAAAAATACAGTTTATGATCAGACTATTGTGTGCATGTGTTTTCTAACTCTGTGGTGATTACACAAGTTGGATGTGAGGAAGCTGCAGGAGTTTTACAGAGAATAAACTCAAGTTACGTGTGAAGTATTGGAGTTGTATTAATTAGTGGGTGATTGACCTACTTACGATGCCAAAGGGAAGAGCCTTTTCCCGCTTTTGTGGCTCTGTTATCAAACATTTCTGATAAGAACAGTTTCAAATGAGGTTACACCTTTTATAATGAGTTGGTTGATAGCGGCAAAGACACACACAAACTTATTTAAAACATGTTATTAAAATGTCCTCGTGTGTTATAAATGGGTCACGCGCTCTGGTTCCAAAAGAACATTTTCAATTAGTTCAATCAACCAGTTCAACTAGTTCAACCAAATCAACCGAACAACAGAACAAACAGTGACAAACAACACAGAAGCTGGTTGTTTGATCCGTGTTGTGAAGGGATGCACACAATATTCAAATATATTCAGACAAATATTGCACAAAGGCCACATTCGACTTCCAGTGGAGTGAGTTAAAAGTCCAGCTGAATAGTGACGTGTGACACAATGACAGGTGATCTGGCGAATTCTTTAAAATGTCGTCAGTGTGGAACTAAACGGTTGTACTAGAACCGTGCTGCGCTCACGCTCGATTGCTGTGAGTTCTGTTCTGAACTCACACGGCGCTGTTTGTTTACATGTGGCAGCAGAGCGAACGCTTTAGCAGAGAAAATAAGTCCAGAGGCAGAAATATCTATTCAATTGTGAGGCAGATGTGCGTCCTCTTATGATACACACTCCTCCATGAGTTTATGGAGATAAAAACAGAGTGGAGCAGTGATGAGAGTCGGAGACGAGACGCAGATAAACTTCTGTGTGACACAGTCACTGAAGGTGAGCGCAGAGTCACTGTATGTTTTAGAGTCGACTTTATTCACTGTATTTCTCGTATGAGTAACGGAGATCCGTGCTTGCACCGGGCACGGGGGCTTGACCCACGTACCAAATTTGGTGACAATCTGTCCATAAATGGTGGAATTATTGCAGGTGGACAGACAAACACAAACACAGACACAGACACAGACACAGACACAGACACAGACACAGGGTGAATACAAAACCTGGTCAACCCTTCAGGGACCAGGTAAAAATCTGATCTGTGTCGTTCAGACGGTCATGAAAAGATCAAATACAGGTCACATAGGGGGAAAAAAATTGGATAAGTGTCACTTGAGGCTGCAGTCTGAACGCAGTCTTGGTGTGCTCCTCTTAAATTCCTCAGAAGTTCACAAACTATCTTCTAACTGTTGATATTTCTCCTGCCGTGGGCCTGCTCCTGTGGGCACTTGGTTGCTACTCACTGTGGGACACATGAGCAGGTTTGTTATGTCCATTTATATAAAGAGTCTATGTTTTTAACTGAGGCTTGGATGAACATCGGTGAGTCTGCAGCTTTTCAGAAGTTTTGCCTCCACACTGCATTGGGCACTGTTTTAGTTTAGTGCACAAATGACACTACAAGAGCAACAGTTGTGTTTCAAACCTCTAAAACTCACATATGAGAATAAACTCAACTTACCTGTGAAGCACTGGATTTGTTTTACAGAGTCAGTGACTGAACTAGTTTGGATGCCAAAGAGCCTCTTGCTGCTTGTGTGGCTCAGTTATCAAAAAATTCCGATAAGTGTAGTCATAGTAATTATAATCTGAGGTTGTTGTTTTCACTGGAAACTGGAAACTGGAAAAGCCTGTCAAAGTCAAACTCATTATTCAAATTTCCTCATTCAATCAGCTGATGGTTTTATTTCCTCCTTCCTGCTATAAATGCTATAAATGCTATAAATGCGTCTGTATGTTCTCAAAGCCACAGTGACCCTAAAGAGGCTCTGAAGGTAAGTCTCGAGTCTGTCTCATCACATCTAAACCCTCTTGATGCATTCACATCCAAACCTTTTATTTCAGATGGCTGCTCGTCGACTCCCGATGCTCTTGGCCTGTTTTGCCGCCGTGGCTCTGCTGTCCGCTCGACGCTGTAAGTATTTATACTACTATATACAGTACATATTTATTAAATCATCTCGTTTATTTTTTTATTGTTTTTATGCATTTTCTCATCACAGGCAGAAAATGACCAAGGTAAGTGAAAGTTATTTTACATCATATTTGTTTTTCATCATTTGCATTGATTGTTTCTGATGAAGGTTGTGCTGACGGCTGGAGTAGGTTTGACTCTCGCTGTTTCAAGTTCTTTAATGATGTAAAGACCTGGACCGATGCTGAGGTAATAAAACAACTATTAATGCTGATAATAAGTGTAATAAAAATAAAGGGAACAAAAGCGTACATGCCACTTCAAAGAGTCTGTGTCACCTACAGCGTCTCTCCTCAAAACTCTGCAGATCCTCCACGACTCCACTCGTCCCAGTGACACATTTTCTGTCAGTGTCAGGGTTGGAGACAGGGGCATGTTCTCATGAACTTTTTTGTTCAGTAAAATGTGGAGAATCTATTTGACATGACCAAACTTTATTTTTGGACACTACTGTAATTTTCCAGGAGGCGCTGTAGAGCAGTTTTATATCAAATCCTTATAAATGATTCATTGTGTTCAGGACGTCATTGTGTAAAATGTTCCACAGGATCTGACTCAAGTCAACACATTATTTTAACTTATCCAAGTCCAAATACCACATTTTGATTAGTGGTTTTAATAACTCTTTATTTCATAGAAAAGCTGCCACTCTCTTGGTGCAAACCTGCCCTCCATCCACAGTGCGAAGGAAAACACCTTCATCAAGGATTTGATCAATTCAGCCACAGGGGGCGACAACCACGCCTGGCTCGGTGGGTCTGATGCTGCGCAGGTAAATGGTCACATGCACATTTCCACATGATCATCAGACTCTTGTTTTAAACTGTTTAAACGTGTGTGTTTTCCTACAGGAGGGGAGGTGGTTCTGGAGTGATGGAACTCCCTGGGACTACAACAGTTGGCTTGTCCACCAGCCAAACAATGCATTCAGCCGAGAGCACTTCACTGCCTACTGGAGCGGTACGAGACTTCTCTATTCCTCTTTACTTTTTTAATCCACACGTGAAAGTTTGTGTCATTCTGTTGAGCCCAACTGCAACAAGTGATTCAACTTTGAGGAAATTTCTCTTTGTGTAAATGTCTCAACATTCTGGACCTGTAAAGACTAAATCATATCCAAAAAATATGGATAACTTTTGCTGCCCCACTCTTCCAGATGATTTTCACTAAATTTGAGACAAATGCCCAAGGAGTTGATGAAGGAGTCATGTGTTAAAAACAGGACAATTTGTGAGATTTGGTGATTGTAACATTAGAATAACAAAGAAAAGAGGCCAAAGTTACATTTTGTGAAAAAACTATAATGTTGTTACAAAAAAAATCCAAAACAAACAATCCCTCAGGGATCATCCAAAATGCAGAGACAATTTACACAGTTTAAACACTGATGTAACAAAATAAAGATGTATTTTTATTAGTCTGACAACACCAAGTTTGTCCCTTTACATTTTGGTTGCTCGGTTAAATTACTGCTGGGTATGGGTCACATTTGCTGCTCATGTCCAAACAGGGAGAAAAATCATAAACATTTTCAAATATAATAATGTTTACTACATTTAAATGTAATTAAATTAATTAAATTAACTTTTCATGTGCACTTCAAGGCAGTGCACTAAGCGTAATCATGTTGCCGTGTCTCTTTGTCGATGTGGGAGCAGATCTGTCGTCCTGCTCAGCTGGTTGGACCTGGTAAAAATGGGAAACTGCATTATTATGTGAGAATTATTCACACATTTCTCTTTTTCAAAACAGGGGGTTTGTGGAATGATGTCCAAAACAGCGGGAAACTGAGCTACATCTGTGCTAAAGCTGCTCCCCAGCCTTCACTGAAACCCAAGGGTGGGCTCCTGACTCTGGAGGGCTTCACCTGCCAGTGCAGCCCTGAAAAGAAGTGACCACTGCATCTGTGATCAACTACGTCACCAAATCTACTCTGTTTGTCATCAAGCTGAACGCCCACATGGAGCTTTGGTTTTTCTTTGTGATTAAACTTTGTTTCTGAGCCTCAGCCTCTTTTGCTTTTTCTTTAGAATAAATACAACATTGCTGACTTAAAAAGAGCCTCTGTGTGACTTTTTATCACCTGCTTGTGTCCAAGACACTGATTTTGTACAATATGTATGACACTCGTTTTTTTTTAGCAATCATTTAATTACAGGTGTTTTTGTTGCTCAAAGACGCCTCAAAAAACATTATTTCTTACCTCCACAGATCTGACTTGTAACTTGGCCTGGTGGCGTCACCTACAGGTTCCAATGTTGTTGTTTTTTTGTTGTTTTTTTTTTTTTTTTATTCGGTCACAGGTATATTTTGACATATTTAACATACACAGACTGAAAAGGTGCAGACTGAAGCTTAATCTTATCATGACCTTTACCCTTTATTCCTTTGTCAGAGCTTCATCTTGACATCAGTTCATCTTCAAAAATACAGCAGGAGGAAACAAACTAATCACTGAGTGTGTTTACATGCACATCAATAACCCGGTTATGATCGGGTTTTTTGAGTATCCCGGTTTCTTCATGGTGCATGTAAACGCAGTAACCCGGTTTCAGTATCCCGGTTATTAGAAACCGGGTTACTGTAGCTGGGTTATTCCGATAGTAACCGGGATACTTGTGCATGTAAACGCAGTATCCCGGTTACTGCAACATAAAGTTGAGTTGCATGCGTCCAAAAGACACTTTCCAGCCTTTCACACAACAGTAGTCATAAATAAATTGACCAACATAAATAAAGTGACCAAAAAATAAAATAAAGAGCTGCGCTAAACCTGCACACGTACAATCTGCACTCGTGTGACGCTGAACAAGCTAAAACATGAACTATGTCCTATACTCTATATGCACGGAACACAGTTACCATCATCAGCGCCTCTTCTGTCACAGAAATAACACACATAATCCACAGAGTCGTGTCATTTAGTCCAAAAGAAACTGATCGCATCAGCGGCGCAAGGAGCGAGTTGTTTTTATCGCCGCTAACAGTTTATGCTAATTAGCCAAACGGTCTTAAGTTTCGTTTCTGTAAAACGTAAACAAATGTGATCACAGCTGAATGATCTGATCAAACGGGCTGATGTGTCTATAGTGTTTATGGTTTATATGTTGTAAAGTTGAGTTTATTTATGCAGAAGATTTGAATGAAGAATCTGCACAGTGGATTGTGGGAGATCTCGTAGCTCCTTAGCTTCTTATGCTAAAGGAGCTCACGGTTTGTATTTTTCCTGGTTTATGAAATTGATTTAAGTTAATTTTTGCGCCTGCGCATTTGTAAGATTATGTCAAGAAACCGGGATACTCCATTTGATCATGTACACGCGGATATGAGTGTCCCGGTTTCTCAGTGCGCATGTAAACACAGAAACACGAACACTGACATAACCGGGGTATGGCTAATAACCGGGTTACTGATGTGCATGTATACGCACTCAGTAACAGAACAACAAAGTTCTACAGCACAAACTAAGTCTCATATTTCATGTTTCTGTCCAGAGTTAAACATTTAAACGTCTTTATAAAGTAAAAGAAAGTGGTGCACAATTTGAGGTTTTCTGTACAGTTGTTCCAGAGCTCCGCCCCTTTAACAGATTTACAAAATTTCATAATGTTTGTTCTGATTTTCTTTTTGATAAACACGGTCGTGCCTCTGACCTTGTATCGGCTCTTTTGGATTTTGAACATGTTCTGTAACGATTTTGATAGGAGATTGTTGTTTACTTTGAACATGATTTTCAGAGTATAAAGGTAAAGACTAAATCATAAAATTTCAGCGTTTGAAGGTTTATAGATAATGCATTGGTTGGTTTGTTATAAGTTGATAATGTTTTTGCTCTTATTGTCTTTTTTTGCAGGGTAAAGACTGGTTTTGTATTAGTCTTATATGTATTGTCCCAATCTTAGATGTAGGTAAATATGTAAAATTCCATAAATATTCCAGGCAAACCAGTCGTCCAGAAACTAAACAAAAGAGAAGTAACACATAAATAACTTTAAGTGAAGTTCTGGAAATAGTGAAGTTAATCGTTTTAGTTTTTTTTTAACAGTTTTAGCCACTTCCTTTAAGTTTAATTCAGCTCTGTTTTTACTCTGGGTTCGTCCTTTAGATCTGGTAATTTTGGTCTTAGATGTTTTTGTTTTGTTTTTTTTGTTTAGTCCTGGTTTAGTCTTGTTTTGATCCCGCTGTGGTCTTATACAACGTCATAGTCCGGTCTTCATTTGTTTCTTGGACAGTCTTGGTGTAGTCCTGGTTTAAACCTAAACCAGGTCTAAACCAGGTCTAAATCAGGTCTAAACCAGAACTAAAACCGGGATTTAAACAAGACAAAACCAGGACTAAAACCAGGTATAAAATCAGGTCTATACCAGGACTAAACCAGAACTAAACCTGGACTAAACCAGGTCTAAACCAGGACTAAACCAGGTCTAAACCAGGTCTAAACTGCAACAAAACCTGATCTAAACCAGGACAAAAATCTGGACTACAACTAGGACTAAAACCAGGTCTAAACCAGGACTAAAACCAGGTCTAAATCACAACTAAACCAGGACTACACCAGGACTGAACCAGGACTACACCAGGTCTAAAATCAGGACTAAAACCAGGTCTAAACCAGGATTAAACCAGGTCCAAACCAGGACTAAACCAGAACTAAACCAGGACTAAACCAGGTCTAAAATCAGGACTAAAACCAGGTCTAAACCAGAACTAAAACCTGGACTAAACCAGGACTAAAATCAGGACTAAAACCAGATCTAAACTGCAACAAAACCGGATCTAAACCAGAACAAAAATCTGGACTACAACTAGGACTAAAACCAGGTCTAAACCAGGTCTAAACTAGGACTAAACCAGGTCTAAACCAGGACTAAACCAGGTCTAAACCAGGACTAAACCAGGTCTAAACCAGGACTAAACCAGGTCTAAACCAGGACTAAACCAGGACTAAACCAGGTCTAAACCAGGACTAAACCAGGTTCTAAACCAGGTCTAAACCAGGTCTAAACCAGGACTAAACCAGGACTAAACCAGGTCTAAACCAGGACTAAACCAGGTCTAAACCAGGACTAAACCAGGACTAAACCAGGACTAAACCAGGTCTAAACCAGGACTAAACCAGGTCTAAACCAGGACTAAACCAGGACTAAACCAGGACTAAACCAGGTCTAAACCAGGACTAAACCAGGACTAAACCAGGACTAAACCAGGACTAAACCAGGACTAAACCAGGACTAAACCAGGTCTAAACCAGGACTAAACCAGGACTAAACCATGCTGTGTAATGCATAAATGCAAGACAGTTGGACAGTTGGATTTAAAGTCACACCACGGAACATTCCAGCCAAATCAATGCAAACATCCATGGAAACTGTACGTGAAAAGTTACACAATAAACCTTTAAATGTACCTGAGTTGTTTCTAAATTTACTCAGAGCCGCGGGAGTCGTGTCCCTGAGCACAAACCGGCGTCACACACTTTATTGGAAAATCAGTTTCTATTAAAACAAACGCGTGGTGTTTTTTACCTCGTGCGTCGTGTGGAGTCGTCGTCCTCGAGTCTGTGCGTCTCCAGAGTCTCACCCCAGAGACAAAACTCAAACAACTCAAACACACGACAATAAAACATCTGTGTCGTCTCATTTCCTCCACTGTGTACAGCTCCTGCAGTTTATTACACCAGAGTGACTCATGTCGGCCTCAAGTCAAGATCTGATGTTTCCTCCTCGAAAACAGACCTGGACTCGAGTTTGGTTTCATTCACACGTTTGAGAGACTCCAGGACTGAACCAGGACTAAAACAGGACTAAACCAGGACTAAACCAGAACAAAAATCTGGACTACAACAAGGACTAAAACCAGGTCTAAACCAGGATTAAAATCTGGACTACAATCAGGACAAAAATCTGGACTACAACCAGGACTAAAACCAGGTCTAAACCAGATCTAAACCAGGTCTAAACTAGGAGTAAACCAGGTCTAAACCAGGTCTAAACTAGGACTAAACCAGGTCTATACCAGGACTAAAATCAGGACTAAAACCAGATCTAAACTGCGACAAAACCGGATCTAAACCAGGACAAAAATCTGGACTACAACCAGGACTAAAACCAGGTCTTAACCATGTCTAAACCAGGATTAAAATCAGGACTATACCAAAACTAAAACTGGTCTAAACCAGGACTGAACCAAGAGGACTGAACCGGGACTAGTCTTGGACTTGAGAGAGAAAGAGAGAGAGAACCCCGGGCGCACCTTTGGGCCTGTCCCAAAAATTAGTCCTGGTTTAGTCCTGGTTTAGACCTGGTTTAGACCTGGTTTAGTTCTGGTTTAGTCCTGGTTTTAGTCCTGTTTTAGTCCTGGTTTAGTCCTGGTTTAGTCCTGGTTTAGTCCTGGTTTAGTCCTGGTTTAGTCCTGGTTTAGTCCTGGTTTAGTCCTGGTGTAGTCCTGGTTTAGTCCTGGTTTAGTCCTGGTTTAGTCCTGGTTTAGTCCTGAGTCCTGGTTTAGTCCTGGTTTAGTCCGTTTAGTCCTGTTTAGTCCTGGTTAGTCCTGGTTTAGTCCTGGTTTAGTCCTGGTTTAGTCCTGGTGGTAGTCCTGGTTTAGTGTAGTCCTGGTTTAGTCCTGGTAGTCCTGGTTTAGTCCTGTAGTCCTGTTTAGTCCTGTAGTCCTGGTTTAGTCCTGGTCCTGGTTAGTCCTGGTTTAGTCCTGGTTTAGTCCTGGTTTAGTCCTGGTTTAGTCCTGGTTTAGTCCTGGTTTAGTCCTGGTTTAGTGGTCCTGGTGTAGTCCTGTAGTCCTGGTGTAGTCCTGTAGTCCTGGTTAGTCCTGGTTTAGTCCTGGTTTAGTCCTGGTTTAGTCCTGGTTTAGTCCTGGTTTAGTCCTGGTTTAGTCCTGGTTAGTCCCTGGTTTAGTCCTGGTGGTAGTCTGGTTTAGTCTGGTGTAGTCCTGGTCCTGGTGTAGTCCTGGTTTAGTCCTGTTTAGTTGTAGTCCTGGTTTAGTCCTGGTTTAGT